TCTCTAATGTTAATGAAGTCACTAAAAATATTTTAAATTGCTAAAACAACTGGATTACTCTTTGTAGATTTTTAGTAATCATGACTTTTAATTTTATTTGCTGTATTGATTGCTCAAAATAATTTTAATTCAATAAAAGTAAAAAAATAACCAACTGCATGAAATAGCAAAAACCAAAAATAATGAACCATAAAAGTAATTCTAATTTTAAATACCTTTTTAACAATTTCTTTTCAAAAGAGACGATTGTACTTGTGAGAAATTAGTACGTTTTCTTTTACAATTTTAGCAGGAAACCAAAGTCCTTAGATGAGTATCTTATTTTTTTCCCATAATTAATATTTAATGATCTAATTGCACCTTTCATTTGCTACTAACCATGAGAATGGGGATCTTATTAAAATACAGTGGGTTCCTAATTATTAAAAATAATAGCATTGTCTTAAGAATTCCCACAGTGATTTGCAAGGAAATAGAAGTTACTCGGCAATGATTTTTTTTTCGTGAGAACCTTTGCAAAACCATGAGAAAATATTTTATTATTTTACCGTTTTACCCGTAATTTGTTAACCAGTTATTTTATCACAAACTGTACTACTAAAAGACAATTACATGTTTCAATTATGATTTTCAAAACCACGTAGGATTCTTGAAATACTTCGAAATTGGTTTTGCTTACTAAGAAATATTCAAAATCGAAACAAAAAAGTACAGTTACTGAAATATATTTCTACAAAATGTGCAATGTACAGATATGTCATGTTTTTACGTAGGTAAGTCTTTTAATAAATATATTACTATGTACAAGTCTTTTATAGCTCTATTCACATACTCTGAAATCAAAAACGTTCCAATTAATCAGTATGTAATACAATAATTAAAAACCTTTAAATGAACGAATTTAACCGAAATCAAAAACTGATTCAATTATTCAGTTTCAGAAAACTAAAATCAATTACAATGATTATTAACTCTTGATGAATTAACAGAATTTAAAAAAAATCACCCGTGAAAACTACAAACGTTGCATACAATTATCACTCTGCAAGATTTAAAACCTTGTATTTCAAACGTACATACACGCGATATTTATACAAAAATATTAATATACAATATTATTTATATACGGAAAAGCATTACTTTGGTTTTTAGAGTCTTAAGGCTATTAAAATTATTTATCGATGTTAGTGTCTACTTCAATCATGAAATGTTGCGTTATCGTATGTAAAAAGAAAATATACTGAATATTCCACACTTTTGAAACTTGAAGTAATAAGAAGTATAAATTAACAATTTATATTTATATTGTATGGCAATCGATGAATTNTGATGGATGCCATATCTCAATGTGAACAGTATGCAAAAGAACAGGGTGCTCAAGAAAGAAACGCCCCTTGGAGACTATTCTTTAGAAAAGAAATATTTGCGCCATGGCATGATCCTTCCGAAGATCAAGTGGCAACAAATCTAATTTACCAACAAGTCGTGAGAGGGGTAAAATTTGGAGAATATCGTTGCGATAAGGAAGAAGATTTAGCCATGATTGCGGCACAACAATACTATATTGAATATGGATTGGATATGAATTCAGAAAGACTTCTTACGTTATTACCAAACTATATTCCGGACTACTGTTTAACAGGTAAATAATTTATGGTACGATGTTTTATTGATATACCTAAGTGTTTATTTGTGTATTTTAGGTATAGAAAAAGCAGTCGATCGCTGGGGAAACCTTGTGGTTCAAGCTTATAGGAAAAGTTACTATTTAAAAGAAAAAGCTCAGTCTTTAAAAGTGAAAGAAGACATTGTAAGTTACGCAAAATTTAAATGGCCCCTCCTTTTCTCTCGCTTTTATGAAGCCTATCGCAACTCTGGTCCAAATCTTCCCAAAAATGATGTAATAATCGCTGTAAATTGGACAGGTGTTTACGTTGTCGACGATCAAGAACAAGTCCTACTTGAACTTTCATTCCCGGAAATCACAACAGTTTCCAGTCAAAAAACTAACAAGGTTTTCACTCAAACGTTTAGTCTTAGCACTGTTAGGGGAGAGGAATTTACCTTCCAAAGTCCTAACGCAGAAGACATTAGAGATTTGGTGGTTTATTTTTTAGAAGGTTTAAAAAAAAGATCAAAGTTCGTTATTGCATTGCAAAATTACAAAGCTCCAGGGGAAGGTTCCAGCTTTCTAACTTTCCAAAAAGGCGATCTCATCATCCTGGAAGAGGACAGCACGGGAGAGACTGTCTTAAATTCTGGCTGGTGTGTAGGACGATGTGAGAGAACACAAGAAAAGGGAGACTTTCCTGCAGAAACAGTTTATGTTTTACCCTGTATGTCTAAACCTCCCTCTGACATATTGCAGCTATTTAGTGTAGAAGGTAGTTAATCAATATCCATTACAAGCTGTTTTTAATTTATTTAATATTTAAGGTGCGGATCACGGAAGAAAAATAAGTCATCATTCTCTAAATGGAGTGGACCCTCGTGATAAGCCTCACACTCTAGCAGATTATGCAATCGATCATTTTCGACCTCCACTGAAACGAACTATGTCGAAATCCCTAACCCTGACATCAAGAAGGGGCTATGATGATTTATGGCGACATTCCCGCGAACCGATTAAACAACCTTTACTAAAAAAGCTTCTTTCCAAGGAGGAATTGGCAGACGAGGCTTGCTTTGCTTTCAGCGCCATATTGAAGTACATGGGAGACTTACCATCTAAACGTCCCAGGTCCGGAAACGAGTACACAGATCACATTTTTGATGGCCCTTTGAAACACGAGATATTACGGGACGAAATCTATTGTCAAATAATGAAGCAATTAACAGACAACCATCACAGATTGTCAGAAGAACGGGGTTGGGAACTGATGTGGCTGGCAACAGGCTTGTTTACCTGCTCACAAAGTTTATTAAAAGAATTGACTTTGTTTTTGAGAACTAGAAGGCACCCCATAGCTCAAGACTCGCTTCAGAGATTACAAAAGACATTAAGGAATGGTCAAAGAAAATATCCTCCCCACCAAGTAGAGGTAGAAGCTATACAACATAAGACAACACAGATATTCCATAAAGTCTATTTTCCTGATGATACTGACGAAGCATTCGAAGTCGATTCTAGCACAAGGGCCAAAGATTTCTGTCACAACATCAGCCAAAGACTGAATCTTAAATCGAGCGAGGGCTTTAGTTTATTTGTTAAAATTGCAGATAAGGTAACTTTAATGTGTCTACATACATAAATACACCTAATCTTGTTGGTCCAACTTACAGTAAATAAAAATAACTAATTCACCCAAATATATCTAAATAGCAAATTTTGTATATAGGTAATAATAGCAAGCAAATCTTCAAAATGTTTATTGCTATCATGCAAGCAATCGCTATGTTACTTCAATAGAAACATCTATTGTCAATTATTCTTTTTACAGGTAATATCAGTACCGGAAGGAGACTTCTTTTTTGACTTTGTTCGTCATTTAACCGATTGGATTCGTAAAGCAAGGCCTGTACGAGATGGTATAATACCACAATTTTCGTATCAAGTATTCTTCATGAAGAAATTATGGACGAATACGGTACCCGGAAAAGATAGAAATGCTGACCTTATATTTCATTTTCATCAAGAACTACCAAAACTGATAAGGGGATATCACAAATGTACAAAAGAAGAGGCTGCTAAACTTGCAGCACTTGTATATAGAGTTCGATTTGGGGAAAGTAAACAAGAACTACAAGCCATACCGTAAGTAATTTTTAAGATAACACGTCATTCGTCATAATTAACCCAGAGAGACAGAAAACGCGGTAATTTAATAATTTAAATGGCTCAAATGGTGACAAATAAAAATAAGTTTTAATAATTCCTAAATTAATTTTGATAAATATACGTGCGAATAAGTAATTACCTACACTCATAAAAACAATATTTGATAAAATAATGGTTGAATATACATTAGTAATTCTGGTTCATATTAAATATTTAGGGCATTTTTAAATAATCATTTCATCGATTTCATATTTAATAACTTGTAGCAGTAAAAATTGTATTTACCTTTAAGCAGAAACGTTTTCTAACTCCCAAATCCCTCTAGTAGAGCAGCAGCATACTTGAAATTATGTATTTTTTTCCATTTTCAATCTATCATACAAAAAAGTTCAAAAAATTAAAAATAACCGCTACCCGCTATACTCTCACGTATATACTACCCACACACGTAGATTGTATAAGTGGTGGCATATATATCACATTGTTATAATAATAGTATCTAGTAAAATTAAATTATTATGAAAAGCAAAGTTGTTATATTGTCTGTTAAACTTATTATCTAATACTTTACCAAGTTATTCTAGAACTAAAATTCATGCAAAATCAAAACTCAGTATAATAGTAAAAAATTAAAACACTTGCTATTTGTCACTATTCATTTTAGAAAGACTCTGGCATGTTATCCTTTTGTTGGTACTTCTAGCAAGAATTAAATGACCCTATTTCACACTCTACTTCTTTAGCAAACACAAATTTCATAATCAACAAACCTAAACTTTCTTGATTCACATAAATCGTATTGTTAGTGGACAACAAAAGAACTTGAATAGTTCCCATCAATGTCACCAATGGCTAATTTATTCGATTGAAACGATAAATACTCGTCGAGCGAGTAATCATCATAATCATTGATGATCCCAGTTTATAATACTATTCTTTATAAACTCATTTGTGAAATTTCATGTCTTTGAATGCGAATGAACACGTACTGCAGCACAAAATGTCAGCATTGATTATAATAATTTGATTACGTAAATTAACTTGGTATAGACGTTTTTTTTTTTGCTTCAATCTGCTAAGAGGACATTCAACCTTAATTACTTTAGAAATGTAGGTAGATAATCGACCCCGCTGTCCTCTTTTAAATTTCGTCCATCAGTTTACACCCCTTTCGATAATAGTAAATTTACGCGTGGGGTAATAAAAGAGCTGAAAGCCATAAAAATCTTAGTACACCTAAACTAATAAAAAATCTTTTTCAGTACGTACATATAATATGCTCTTGCTAATCGTAAGGTAGTTTCGTAATTTGAAAACAAAACACTACTGTGCATTAATCAACGTACAATAAGAGGGGGTGTGGTTCACTGGCCTGAATAACAAGATAATGAAAGAAAGATTTTCATGAATACCTTTTCACAATGGCAAGACGTCATTCGTCGTTTACACACGAATGATTTATGGATTTTGCAGTATTTTACTTTTATTTTTATTACAACTAGGTAACTGGTAATAAGAAGGCATGCGTTTTATAAAATTTAAAGTATTTTTCTTATACACATGCATTTCATCCCTAAAAGATGATCTTAAAAAGAGGTTGCTTTCTTTTTCTTGTTTATCATAATTTTATTGCAAAATGTAGAAAGTGTTCCAACAGTCAAGAAAGAGCTCTTAATGGTTAAAAAAAAATGAAAATTAAGGTGAAAGTTAATAAACGAAGCTGCTCTAATTACTTAAACAAAAGTTTCTAAAAACCATCAAGACGACGCTAATAATGTTACCTTGTTACTACTTGTTTTATAACCAGTGAGATAACCTACTGTACCTAAAAAAAAGGATGCATTTCTACAAAAATGCCAAAATGTAACAGCTAATTGTTCTGATTTGAAGTACTAAGGCAACCGTTTTATTCTTGCCTTTAAAAAAAATAGCAATTAAAGAATTCAATTTCCTATCTTCATAATCTACTAGTTAACTATTACTTAAAATAAAATAGAGTGTTTTCATATCACTATTTAAACTAATATACAACTAAAATAAAAAATATATCTAGTGGAAGTCTGATGACAAATTCTTTAAGCGAATTTGACGGTACACTACTTTTTCGAAGTCTT